TCGTATTCAAATGATTGTACAGGTCATAATGAGTCATTACATCAGCCTTAACGACTGTAAGTCTCTCGCCGTTTATGAAGTTACAATACTATGAATAAAGTTATTATAAAACTTATGGTACTTAAAATGACATATTTTACTACGTTAATAAGATTTGTAAGTTACAAGAGTATAAAGTGAAGGGGATTGTAATGTTCATGTTATTAAAACAGCCTATTTTATTTCCGTAATTAAAGTCACATTTTCTATTCAACGAAGAAACATTTAAATTGTTATCAATAGCATATACCTAATAACTCTTTCGATGTCAGAGGCTGTCAATATAAGTTTATTCATTTTACGATATTAGTCATATAAGTCAACTAATCGTGCGTGGATACCTTGTGAGTTTTTCAACGTAAGAGTCCCCTCTGGTCCTTCATCGTTCATTCCATTCCATACTCAGTGTAAACTGACTGACTAGTATAATATGTTATAAATCACCAAAGTAAAACATGGAACAATTAGATCATATGAAACATGCGTAGAAAGAGGAATTTAGCTAATATGTATATATATATATATATATATATTATATATATTAAATACCAACACGACAAAAGGGAGGTAAGTCATATAATGAACGAACTAAATCATGATTGTTGACATGTGCATGAAATCGTACTTGTCACCACTCTCCACAACTGATTTATGTCAGTTTCAAAATTTATTTAAGGATTATTCAGTAAGGGAGGTAAAAAGAAAGGGACAACGAAAATATCGACTTCTTAAAAGATAACTACCTCAAACAAAAAATGAACTAATTTACGTGGAGACTCCTCAAAAAACACAGGGAGATTTAGATAATGTATTCCGGAAGGGTTAGTGTCTTCTAATTCATGAAAAAAAAAACATATTACTTAATGAAATAATTATGACGGCAGTAAAACCTTCATTTTCATTAACTTAAATATCTCGAAACGCCTTATTGTGATTTTGGCTGTCAGTTGTCATGCATTGTCCAACAGTCATGCTCGACTGACGTATCTAATGTATATTCATCACACACAACGACAGCGGGAACACGCTTTCAGAATAAGTATGTAAAATTAATGTAACAGTTGCATCAAACCATTTGAAAGCATAAGATCAAAAAAAAAAAAAAAAAAAAGAAGAAATTTTCCAATAATAAAGATTACATTGTCCATGCGTGTCTACCTGCAAGCCCAACTCAATGAATCATTGATGAAAATATCTGTATTAGGTATGTGACTGTGCTTGTCGTAGCTATTGAGAGATGTAAAATGGAAGTTCGTTGACACAGGACATTGTGACTCGTAACTAGATACTGATTCATATTCAGCGAAAGAGGTCGGAATTTTTGTAAAATGGTAATGATATTAATGAAGATCTAAAATACTGTAAGCATTTCTGAATTGACATAGAATTATATTTAATCTTCTGTTTCCTTATTCTACCATAACAGGGAACCGTATGAGTATTTTTCATCGTAAGAGAGGGCAGAAAATGTGAAAATCCGATTCTATCTCATACTCAACTCCATGTAAATACAACATTACATTACGATAAGTATATGATATCAGTCTTTTAATGACGTTTCTAAATATAGTGTCATTTTTTTCTCTCAGATATATGATCCAGAGGAAGTTTTCAGACATCGATTATGTCTATATATAGCTTAAACAGAAACAGGTGCTCCCACATATTTCTACCACGTGACTTAACGTTCTACTTTGATGTTTTTCTCGTTTAGCAACCATATGAATTCATATCTAAATATATATCAAAACCCAAAAACATCTTAAGGAAAGTTGTATTTATTTCAAGAAACATATTGATATGTACACGTAAGTAAATGTACAATTAATATTTTTATGTTCAAGACTACATTTACCTACTATGGTAGTGAATTATCTTTATTCGTCATTGAAGTCAACACATTGACTTATGAACGTAAAGAAAATCACATTATTGGGTAGTCTTTAGAGCGTGAATACGTGATGTATTCGACCTCAGAGTTATTCAATGTTTGTCTTCTTTTACAAAATGAATGATGTCCAACATACCAGTTCTAATACATTTACAATAGACATTTCTGCAAAATGTAGACATTGAGATTACTTTGAATATGATGCACTAAAATGAGTGAAAAAATTAGAAAATAATTAATTGATAACCCGACCCTTAAGGGAAAATTCTTGTTGTTATAATGCTGATGTAACCTTTTATTCCAGGTGGTTTAATATCGAAAATAAAGTAAATGGTGCTCATCGAAGTGTGAACGTCTCAACCAATCAGAAGAAAGGATTTTAATGTTCAATTCACAAAATATTCGCTGCTTTCATAGGTGATATACTGTGTTGTATTCGTGTGTAATAAATTCATAAGCAATTCGAAAAAAAACCGCACACAATTTTAAAATATTAATATAAAAACTTTCTCAGTAAGATATTGCTATTTAGATTTATATAGGGTCACTTTGTTTGTATTAAATCAAGTACAAAACAGTTTCAACATTAAACGGTCATCTGAACCCATCCATGAAATACATTATATGTACAAACGTGATTGTTTCAGAATGAAACAGCTGGAAGATGCAGGTAAATCCATTGTCTATATTATTGTTAGTGTATTGAAATTTGCTACTGAAAATAGTTACATGTATGTTATTTCTACAATCCTTTGTAAAAATATACACTAATATGAATTACAGCGTAACGTGCATATGTAAATATATAAATTATATCAAGGTTTATTCGAGGATATTAATATTTTTTTGATAAATTGGGTTTTTTTTTCATAAATCTAATATGTACTGTTAATGTTGTATACTGATGATATTCATAAAATCCCAGACGGAAATATGTTTGACTAATTGATGCAAAATGCAGATCTGCCTTGTTTATGATTTTTGTGAGTTGTATTTTAGAATGGTTAATGTATTACATATTTTATGTTATATGTAACACGATCGTTTGAGTCACACTGTGTTTATAAGAACTATTCAAAAACATGTATTATATACGTCATCAGTCTCTTGATTTCCCATGTTTTTTTCAGATTGAGCAAAACATTTCCTTAATTTCATCCTGACAATTTCGTTGGACGTCTTTAAACACCTACCTTTGAAGTTCTAGAAGGGGAGACAACCGTGCGGTGCAGTTTTACTCATTATTTTGTGTTGTATCTACTAACGGTGCCGTCTTGTTTACGATCCTCAACTATAACAGAAGTTATAAACACTATAGTTTTAAGACCGTCATTAAATGAATAAAACAAATACATCGGATTAACTGAGATGGCCAAATCGAGTCACCTGAGGATATATTTAATATCAATATATAATACAATGAAATAATGATATGTTTAAGGAGATATTACTATATAGATCTATAAACTACACGAGATATGTCTTGATAAAACAGCAAATATCATCTGACAAAGATATCATTACGCTCGTGGAGAAATCTCTAGATTATATATAAATACATCGTAGCTAACATTTCTAGATAAAAATATATTTCCTAAAGCGATTTGAGGTACTTAATCAGCGAATAGCATTGACGCCCAGATCAAGCATCAATGAGAAAATGCCGTGAAAAATGGAAAATTAATTAATTATTTAGACAAGGGATGTCAAATCCCGTCGCTCACGCTATACAAGGCTGATAAAGTACAGCAGTTAAAACAAATATTATTAATATTACTTTTTCTCTAAAAACTGCATTACCATGTGTAGCAACAGTATGAACTGTGAACATCAATGATCAAAACATACAAAATAGGGTGTTTATATGTTATAATATTAAAAAATTAACATATTAAATGCAGGCAAAATGGTGAAAATTCAACATCAATCGAAGCATTTGACCCATGATAGATTGTAGATAGGTTTTATATACACTGGTAATGATAAAATGTATGTTTCATGGCATATATTGCTGATATGAAAGACATCATAATATAAGAATGTATTGAAGTCATAAACATTGTAAATATCTTAACTCTAGTGAGGAATTTTTGAAAGGTAATTTTTGAGAAAGTTATCAAAGCTAAATGATTTCACTGCATGTTCTTGTTTTTCTTCAATAAAGGCATTTGCTGATATTTTCTGAGCAATCATTTTTTACACAAATGTCCTCATTGATTAAAATATAACAGAATGTAAGAAAATATCAAAATAATCAATGTGAAAATGGTCAATTGATTTACGAGGTTCAAAACTGAAAAGCGAGGGAACACATACAAGGTAATATTGAAAAATGTTCTGTTATTGAACTTTCACAATGTTGGTGACGCTATTAGCCTAATAACATATTCAACTACGTCTTCACCAAATATAGCCCATTAAACGCTTTGTTTCAGTTTATATGAGATAGGCAATAATGCTTGTGCTGAAATTTGATATTTAATTACGACCTACTGCCAGTCAAACATTACTTTGATACATCTTCAATACACATTTTACATATACATCTGTTAACTAAGATAATTAGCTTGATATACAACTGAAGTAAGTAAAACTTTATCATCATGTTTTGTGCACAAGCAACAGACATACCAAGGTTACAAATGTACGTACAATATTATAACCATATCATATTTAGATGTCCATGTGTACCCTGATAAAACCATAAAAGTTTATCATGCTTCCTGAACAAACTTTCTTGTGACGTCATGATTGCATCGTCATGACCATATCGTTCATTTGCAATATCACGGTTCATGTTCCGAATGGAATCTGTTCGGCTTATTTCGTACATTATTATGTTCCGCCGTTGGATCTAACATATAAATGATCTATAAAAAGAACAGCAACAATCCAGAGTATGTCGTTCATCGTTGTTTGAACATAAACATTGAATTGAGTGATGAAATATGATTGTTTGACTTTCTCAAAACATTGTGTAAGTATACATAAAGTAGAATACAAAGAACATATCGAAAACCTCAAGAATTGTCTATCACTGTTTAATAAAGTCTACACTGACGTGTTTTTGTCATGCTTTGACCGCGTCCTTGGATGAAACATTCTCCTTCTCTTTCTTATTATCGGGGGATTCTACTGTTTCTACTTCGTGAACAAAGGCAGGATTCTGATGTCCCACACCTGAGATAACGTTGACTTGAGGAGCAGGAACAATTCCACTGCTGTTTACCGTGCCGTTAGGAAGATAGATAGACGGTACGACATGGGGTCCGTTCTGTGTCGCCATGTTGACAAGAGCGCCAACCAAATCTTTGACAAGGTCGCCATGATTGATTGAAGCCGTCGGCGTCGGCTGCATCTGAATGCCACCTTGGCAGTCGCTCAAATTTGTAGCACAGCTTGTCGCACTGCTTTGACTGGCGGTACGACCAGCCACATGTCGACTCAACGTGGATGTCGGCGTCTTCTCGAGAGGACAACAGGCCATAAAGCAAGGGGCCTTTTCTGCCAGTGCAGCGCGAAACCTTGGATGACTGAGCGCATAGACTAAAGGATTATGCATGGCGGAGGTTTTAGCCAAGAGAACAGGTAATTCACACATCAAAGGCGTAACAAAGTCGGCAGATCCAAACTGTGCTACTAATGCAATTGTAGCATACGGACTCCAAGAAAGAATGAAAAGTGAGACCAACATCAATGCTATTTTGGCAATTTTCATCTCAGCTTTAGCTTTCTTGTTTTTATCAGCTTCTTCTGCATTCAATTTACCTGCCATTCGCGTCATTTCTCTACCGTGGGCTTTAATTGCCTTTAGTATCATGATGTAACAACAAATGATGACTAAAAAAGGCATCAAAAATCCAAACACATACAATCCTATGATGAAGTATCGGTTTTTGGTGGTCTTGGATATATAATCGAAAGTACAAGAGGTTTGGAATCCCTCTGGGATGTACGCCCCAAATCCAAATAGAGGTGGGATTGCCCACAGCACTGACCATAACCAAACAATGACAATCATGATGAAGGCTTTTTTTCGCGTCATGATCCTCGCGGCCTGAAGGGGTTTAGTTATGCAAATGAAGCGGTCGATGGATATTGCTGCCAAGGAGCCGATGGACATGAAGCCGAATATACCACCAATAAGACCGTAAAGTTCGCAAGCAACGATTCCAAACACCCATCTTTTACTGAACGCAGAGATTGATTTGAGAGGAAAACCGTTGATAGCGGAAAACGTGAGATCACTCAAAGCCAAGTTCACAATCAACATATTTGATGGCGTTTTCAATTTCTTGTTTGTTGTAAACATCCAGATAACAAGGATATTACCGATGACACCAGTGATTCCGACGAGGCCGATAAATATACCATCGAAATAATGCCAAGAGTCCGAAACAGGTGGGAACCGCTTCCAGTGAGGATGAATAAAATAGTCGTATGTATCGTATATGTGTGTTGTGTTTGTCAATGTCTCCGTTACAGATTCCTCAGACATGGCTACTGAAGAAATGAAATAACTTCAATTATCAGAGATTATAGGACAAAGACGATACGAACATGAGACGAGTGTTCGGGATGTCTAGTCTCAGTAGCATTAATGGTCAAGTGTTTAGCTGGAATATTGCTGTAGGCAATACTATGTTGAAAACACAATCGTGAGTTTCTGTCCAATATTTAACTAATTACAGAGCAAGCAATTTGTGAACAAATCACCACACCTTGCTGGTCAATCTGAATTGAATAACGAAAACTGACAGAGTCCTAAAGAATGGTGACTCTGTATACTCAGTGGACCCGCTTAGACGGGGCTGGTATGGCGTGGAAGTCGACTTGGTAAAGAAGTGTCTTCATTTATATCTAGACTTTGCGTGCTCAGTGCTAAGAGGATCACATGAAGACGGACAGCTCCCCGCTGATCATTGTGATAGCAAATTAATGAGGGTTTTCTGTCAGGTATGAAATAAGAGGAACTCTCTGCCTATCAAGAAAGATTACTTATTCATCAAATATACCTACAGTATGACACCAATATAGGACAGACTGATGAAACTCTGAAGCAATATACATCGTATCCTAGTGGGCTATCAATACCACACATGTACACCTCCTGTGTTTTTGTAAAATCAATACATAATTTCAATTATATTTCGAACAACAGCATAAAACGTTAACATAAATTTCAACTATAGTCTCTAAGTATCATTGTCTGACAGAAAGATCAAGATAACACATGTTATTCACGTGTAATAGACCGCCTTACATACATATATGTGTTCTTGGTTCATTGATAACATTTATTTACATTAATTATAAAGTCATGTTTCCAATTTAAGTACAATGCACATATATCATCAAAACGTTTACAATAAACCAGAGTTCAAAGTTCTGACATGACGTTCTGGCTACAACGATTCTCTTCAAAAAAAAATTATTTGAGTCGTCCCGACACGTGACTGTTAATGGATGACTTATGTAATCAGAACGAAGCAATACGTCATAGCATGTTAGGCTTAAACCTCTATCGGCTTATCACAACGCTGCTAATGGTAACGAACATTGACAGTGATAACTAATGACAAGTTCTACACGTTTCTAACTAATTAATCGCTAACTGAATATAAACATTTGTCTCGTCATCTTCTCATTACATTCAGAGGTGAGGCAGAGAAGGTTGGTATTCATTTAACACTCGGATGTTGCTGATGTTTTAAGAGCTATTTGAGCGGACTACACAATATACGTTTTTTTATATTTAAAGTGTGAAAATCTGAGCGTCCAACAAACAAATGACGTTGAACAGATTTGCGGATAACAATTCAAGACAAACGGCTTCTTCTGACTGAAAGTGAAATCGGATTTTACCAAGGATATCTAAAGATTCGATAGTATAGAAGGAGCTAAGGTGAATTTTGGACGAGAGTGGGTGTGTTTTGTAAGATCTGATGGCAAGAGAAGCTGGTTCAGCTATACTATCGGTCGTGGAGGAAGTCACAACACTCAACACTTCCTTCACACACCTGTATGATACTTACGATTACTACATCCACCCCCACTGGCGACAATACCCACCTGTGTCTGATAACTGGCATTACTTCATCGGATTCTTCATCACGGTGGTAGGTCTAAGTGGTGTTATTGGCAATATCGTGGTTATATGGACCTTCACCTCCACCAAAACCTTGAAAACGCCGTCCAATATGTTGATTGTGAACCTGGCATTAAGCGATCTTACGTTTTCGGCTGTCAATGGATTTCCATTATTAACAATATCTGCCTTCAATAAACGATGGGTTTTTGGTGACGCAGCGTGTGAGTTCTATGGTCTGATCGGTGGGATTTTCGGCCTCATGTCTATCAACACACTCGCCATGATTTCTATTGATAGATACATCTGTATCACCAAACCGCTTCAAGCAGCAAGACTGATGACCCGTAAAAAAGCCTTCTTTATGATAGTGATTGTTTGGTCATGGGCTATCGCATGGTCACTTCTTCCACTATTCGGTTTAGGAGCTTATATTCCTGAAGGTTTTCAAACTTCCTGCACCTTCGACTACCTAACCAAGACAATGTCAAACAGAATATACATTGTTGGAATGTATGTGTTCGCATTTGCATTACCTCTTGTAATAATTATCGGTTGTTATGTAGGAATTTTGAAAGCTATCAGAAAACATGCTAAAGAAATGGCAAGTATGGCTGATAAAATGAACGCCGAGGAGGCAGAAAAAAAAGAAAAATCAAAAACAGAAATAAAAATAGCAAAAATTGCGATGATGCTCGTATCACTTTTCATTTTATCGTGGAGTCCTTATGCTACCATAGCTTTGTTGGCTCAGTTCGGAGACCCATCCTTTGTAACTCCCTTCATGTCAGAGTTGCCTGTTATGCTAGCCAAAGCTTCTGCTATGCACAACCCCATAGTGTATGCACTCAGTCATCCTAAATTCCGCGAGGCATTAATGAAAAAAGCACCATGCTTTTTATCATGTTGTATGCCGTCAGAAAAACCTAAGGATGGTGACAAAGCACCCGTCCCACCCAAACCAGTAATGCATCGACAGCTCACGCAGACTTTTAGTGACGCTAGTATGTCTAGTGTTCAGACAAATCTTAGTGAAGGTTTCGACATGAAGACGCCGAAAGAGCAGTGGGCTAGCTCGGCTGAAATGGTAAGACAGCTAGTTGGAGTGATTGTATGCATGGCAACCAAGAAAAGCACTGATCAGCCGATTGTTCTTCCTCAAAATGGAGCTGCACAAATTGGTGAGGCAGGCCCATCTGCAGAGACAAATGAAGAGGGTGTGTTCACCGTCAATGATGGTAACCTTGACTTAGTGGCAGCAGCAGGTGCTTTGATTAATGCTTTCGGACCAGAGTCCGAACCTGAGAAACCGTTAGAAGAAGAGGAGGTAACTATGTCAGGCACAGATAACCCGGCATTAGAGTCTGAAGCTGAAGAGAAAGATACACAGGTTTGATATTAAGTGATGACACTCGTTTTATTGGTGATGAGCGACACTCACGTTTTGTAATTGTATTACCTTGGTGAAGAAACTTAAGACAAATATGTGTGTTTATATATAGCCAAACCTGAACAGGATATATAGACATAGCCCGTTATAACGATAAGGAGAGAACAGCCATATGGGGTCGAAGTGCTAACAGATATTTCTAGTTTCAGTTTTGATTGATACAGGATGAAATAATTGATACAAAAGTCTAAACTATACTATGGTCCTGCGTTACGAACCATGTGTTACATACATTGGATACCAATAACGATAAATAATAAACATCGACATTAGTAACACTACGTATTGCTTCTTCTTAAGAACCATCAACATGTGAACATTTTGATTCCATATTATTTAAGGACCGGATAAAAACTATTATAGAAGTGACCAGAACTACACTTTTATCATGGCTGTTTCATCTTTAAAAAGTTGGATACGGTACCTGTCCATTAAGAACAGCCATCCTGTGGTCATTTAGAAGTAAGATTTTACAAGAAAATATTTTAAGGTTGTCGATGTGTAATACACATTGTATAAACAGTGATAATTAATCCAGAACAGTATATTTTTCAGTTATCACGTTATTTTATAAGTACATCTCCCTTAATTTTCCATTTGTTATGTACTGACACAAGTCGTCCGTGTGCTAATATATATGTATCTTTAATATTCTCAAACTGTAAATACATATACATCAACCAGTAGACCAAACATTGTAGATAACAGGTTCAGAATAATATTACATTTCTGACACGAAAAACGTGTATGTTGTTTCCATATTCACTATCATAGCAAATGAAGCAATACTCAATTAGATAATAATTTTGTACTTAATTTTACTGAAAACCTTTTCGATCCGATAATTAGTCTGAAGGCTTCTGACTATCTATCCGCTATTTTGTTTTTAGCTTGGCCGCGGACGATAGTTAGAATTGCTCCCTATTTTAAAATACCAAATTCTAGCGATCTCTTCAAGGGTTGATGGTAAGGATAACTAGAGTGAACGACAAGGACGATAAGGCTTGACGGCAAGGATGACAAGGGTTGATGACAAAGGTTGACGACAAGGATGACAAGGGTTGATGACAAGGGTAGACGACAAGGGTTGATGACAAGGACGAGAAGGATTGATGACAAGGACGAGAAGGATTGATGACAAGGACGACAAGGGTTGACAACGAGAAGACAAGGTTTGACGACAAGAATTGACGACAAGGACGACATGGGTTTACGACCAGGATGACAAGGGTCGACGACAAGGGTTGACGACAAGGGTTGATGACAATGGTTAATGACAACTATGACAGGGATGACAAGGGTTAATGACAAGTATGACAGGGATGACAAGGGTTAATGACAAGTATGTCAGGGATGACAGGGGTTGACATTCAGGCAATAGCTTATATAGATTACAATGTCCCAAAAGTTATAAATCATACATCGAAGAAATTATAAAACTTGTATATTTGTCAAAGCAATTAAATGTTGTAAACAATGTTTACAAAGGTTGTTGACAAGGACGAGAAGGGTTGATGACAGGACGACAAGGGTTGATGACAAGGACGACAAGGGTTGATGACAGGACGACAAGGGTTGATGACAAGGACGACAAGGGTTGATGACAAAGGTTGATGACAAGGACGACAAAGGTTGATGACAAGGACGACAAGGGTTTTCATTTTTCTACTAAATTATATATGTGTCAAAGCAATTAAATGTTGTAAACAATGTATTTCCACTCATTTTCCTTAAGAACGTAATTTCGGAAGATACTTACCATGGTCACCACTATGCGGAATCTTTCTAGACTCGCGAGAATTTACATTTTGGAAACTTTACAGGCACAACTCTAGAGTGATCCCAGATTGGCGGCCATTGTCAATATTCTGCTAAGTAAAGTTAGATGTATGATTTACAACTATTTCGCCATCGGAAACCGCATAAAATATTGCATGATTATCAGCCTATTATGTCCTGGTCGTCAACCCTTGTCATCATTGTCGTCAAACCCTTGTCGTCAACCCTTGTCATCATTGTCGTCAAACCCTTGTCGTCAACCCTTGTCATCATTGTCGTCAAACCCTTGTCGTCAACCCTTGTCATCATTGTCGTCAAACCCTTGTCGTCAACCCTTGTCATCATTGTCGTCAAACCCTTGTGGTCTACCCTTGTGGTCTACCCATGTCGTCTACCCTTGCAGGGGTAGCTAAAATTGTGAGTACTTATATCAGGAGGAATTCTGACTATCTTCCGCGGCCAAGCTAAAACTAAAATCACGGATCTATAATCAGAAGCCTTCTGACTATTCCTTATTGAGTTTGTTAGTACTCTGGTATCCTAACACGTACTTTCCCCCATCAAAATGTTTAAAATAGTATACTTATTGAGGCTGACAAGTGTCTCCGTGGCTGTAGAGTTACCCAGTTCTGACACGCTCATTTTAATACTGAAATTCTGTTCCACAACATGACGTTTTCCGAGCTGGATAAAACGTACCTGTACATCTTATCTAATAAATTTAGAAATTATTATTAAATTCTACAAAAACAGAGATAATCATTGAGCGGTAAACATTTTTAAGCATTGATGGAAAAAAATCAAGCATTCTTTATAATATATGGAGAATATTAAAGTTGTACTTTCATATCAAATACATTTTCCAAATATTACATCTATATTTATTCGCACTCGATAGAAATATAGATATATTCTGCCATACGAATGAAATATAGTTGATATTAAGCGGAAAACCATCAATTATTTAAAGTGAAAATAAATGATAAAACCTGATGATACTTGTACAGTAGATAGTATATTGTTGACGAGAAATAGCGGTATTTTAAGCTTTGATTAACGAGTGAACGTTGTCAGCCTGGTGATGAAGGTCAGAGTTCAACAAAGGATAGAGTTACACAAGTGCGTTATAGCATTATCAGGCTCTCACAGGAACAACAACGATTTGATTATGTGTGGAAACAGTGGGCGTAGTGCTATAATAGTCCAGGGGCGTAGCTTCCACAGAAAGAAAAAACCCGGGCGTACACATAAACAATCCGTGCACAGAGTATGTCGGACAAAATTACAAAACTAAGGTTGAAAATAGATATCTAATATTTTTGATAAATAAAAAAAACAGATATTTATTTATAAATAGAAAATTGTTGAATAACTAGGCCTAGTGCATTGCTTTCCGGAACTTTATACACATCATACTATTCTACTTCTTACTATCATTTCAACGCTTCGCCCCCTGATCCCCCCACCAGGGCCCTGTCCTCGACCCGCTGGGGGCCTAGGCGGCCCCAGACCCCTCTCCTGGGCTTACACTTTCTGCTGGGCTAGCTACGCCCCTGTACTCAGCAAACCTTTCTAATCATATCTGGATTTCAGGATATCGATAGATCAACACAAACTGTTGTAGATCAAACTATCCTAATTGTATCTTAATACAAGACACCGAAATAGAAATGGGTTTAAACAGCACCCTGTATACAGAAATATTAACGGCGTTCTATGTGGGCAAACGAAGGCTTCAGCCAATGACATGTTATTCAGTGAATGTATGGTTGTGTATTATTTTGGATATGAACTTCGATATGACACATTTTGATGTCAGAAAATAATTTTTAAAAAGTTACATAATGATAGTATAATAGAGACAACACATAGAGGGAGGATTATTTTACAGCGTCATAAAAGGGCGTTGTATGATATCTGAAAAAAAATACCTTTTTTGTCAGTGAAATATAGGAATTTATCTATTTGTTTAATAAAAAAATAATTTACACCATTTCTGCCAGAAATATTATATCACCTCTAATGATGATATAGCTTTTCCAACACTTATGATATACATGTAACGTCTGCAGTTTTGACCAGTCACAGCCGTGTTTGGATGGCTTCGTTACGTTTGGGTCGATTTTTAAAATTTATTTTTACCTTTAAAATGAAATAAAAAGAAAAAAGTTTCATTTATATGTCAGAATATATCCATATTTTAAATTGGGCTTCACACTCGTCATAAATATAGATACTCCGTCATACCTTAGAAATATAATATAAAATGAGAAGCTTGTAAATATCCTCTATATATCTCTATATATCTTGTGATAATGAATACTTAAATTCATTTCTATTCCATACTTATACTAACCATTCTGATTTATTTTTGAAACTCGCCTTTTTTCTTCAAAAGTAATTTAGTTGTTCCGAGATAGAATAGATCCTGGAAAATATTTCTGTGATTTTGTGTCAGTTTTAATGTCAAGACAGAAATGTGGGGTCATCAATTAAATCAATATGCCATCATTACCCGATTATAGTATTAATATCAATGTTATCATATGTCGAAAATATAATGATGTCATCACACAGTATTTTGTAATCTCATTACATGATGTAAATATGTCGTTATCAGACAATAACATTAATGTCATCACATGGTGTAAATATGATGACGTCATCAGACAAACATATCAATGTCATCATATGATGTCAATATGATGACGTCATCAGACAATAGTATTACTGCCCACACGCATCCATATGTCTTATTCGGTGTACATAATGTACTTGTATGTAAAATATCACCACAATATTTCAATGTCATTTCACGATTTCAGTTTCACCCTACGATGTCATTACAAATTTTCAATTTCGTCACACAATCTATATCAATATACATACAGTGCTAATATGATGACGTCACTTTAGCGTGTTAGTATGGTAAGGTAGACAAGTAAAGGACACTGTACGTGTTCTATCGAGAGTGTTGTTTTTGTGTGATGTTATTTGTCGTGAGTGATAGCTAATTACATGGACAGCCTATATATACATTATAATCCATCCCTATGCTGGACATATTTTGTAAATATGCCAGAATAGTGGAAAAGATATATTCACTATGTGTAATAAACTATCTTCGAGACATTGTTTTGTTTAATCTTACATCTGACGAAATAAGC